TGCTTAGAACAGGGTTATTTAGAGCAGAAGGTCTGTTGTTTTTGTTTTAAACACTAGTTGATTTCTTCGGCTGTTTTTTGCAGACATGCTGGAAAAAGTCTGAAGCTACCAAATCCTCGTCTACACAGGACCAGTGGGAAACTTCAAATTTCCCTGGGTAGGCATGATTTTAGCAAAACTTCCTCTGCTTAGAATGGTCTGACTTCACTGTAAAGTGGGCTCCACTGTGCTAATCCTTTTGGAATGCAGCAATTATCACCTACCATATAGGTGTTAAGTGCTGAATTTCAAAGGGATTATCACTTTCCTCCTTTAGTGGCTAAGTAAGAAGAGAAAAGTTGTTAGTACTTCTAAAGGGGAGGAAAGAAGAAAAAAGAAATCTCTCCTGTTTTCTTTCTGTGGTGTCCTTCAATCTGGCAAAAGATAAGCAAGCTGGGTTTTGCTACAGCTAGTTACTTTGGGTTTGATCTTTAAGAATTATAACGGCATTTATTTCCCATCCCCCTGAAGTACCATCATTTCTGAAAAGAGGTAAATACAACAGCCGTTCAGAATGAAAACTGGAAGTTCTGTAGGTGGACAAAATTATATAGGAAAACCAAAGTTCTTTATATCTTTATAGTATGTTTTCATCAGCAGTCGGGAGGCTTTCATCAAGTTAAGTACATAATAGTACTTTACATCTTCAACAATTTGTAGTTTTTCCAGTCTAAAAATGTAATTGATGGTTTTATTGATGTTGCAGACAGAGCAGTAGAAATTATCCTGACTATTTTTATTCATATTTTATTCAACTGACACAGAAGTATTTTGTTCTTTCGCTAGTACTATCTACAATACAGATAATATTAATTTCACGTGGTTGTTGGATAAGGTGGGATCAGTGTCCTTGAATTCTTGTGTTGTGGGTATTTTTTTCCTTTTCATTCATAATAATCTCCTCTACAGCTACTTTTGTAAGTGTTTGCTTCTGTAAATCTTCAATGAAAAGTTGTCTGTGAACATAATGGACAATGCAAGATGACAGTTGTGGATTGTCTATTTCTGTTTGTTTGTTTGTTTTAGGATTGGGGTTTCCCAGGTTAGTCTGCTCAATCATTGTCAAAAGCTTAGGGATATATAAAAGCCAAAACCAGCAGTAGGCATGCCTCTGTCCGTATCTCCTTTGTCATGTACACTGATTCAGTGCTGGCACCTAGGCATGTTTTTTCTGAGTTCCACTTTCTTCTTCATTTCATGGCATTCAAATGTTCAAATGTCTTTGCTGCCATTATGGGTTCATGCAGCATAGGTAATTTTTTCTTCTGAAGTGTATTCAGATTTTTTTTTTTCTCTCTTATGAGTGTGAAAAAAATCTCGGGGGGGAGGGGGGGGGGGAGAAAAGGGGGAGGGGAAAAGGAGGGTAAAACCATTGCATAGGGATGAATGTGTGCACTTAAGTGTATCGCTGAGGTATACTCTTAATACAAAAGCCAGAGGATTAGTTGCCCGGCACAATAAGTATCTCTGAGCCTTTGCCTGTTCAGACTACTTTTCTTTAGAAATAAGTTAGAGTTGACAGCTAAGTCTCCAGAATTTGGTAGTTTGCTGATGTGAACTAGTGGGGAGAACATTTAGAGAGAGGGCATTCACATCTGTAGAAGAATTTAAGATGTTGTAAGGGATAGAAGTTGTTACTAGTGGAGTTTTGTGGGCGGGGTGGACTGCCTTGTTAAGTCTTCTTCTGTGAGGTTTCAAAATAAACAAAAGGGGCTATTAGAGAAGAAAGTAGCATTTGGAACTGGATTGATGATGCTGAATAGCAGTTCATATTGGGGAAGGGATGTAGAATATCAGATTGTAAGACTGGCTTTTAGTCTCTTACTTTTATGTACACTATCACTTTATTGGGATGAAGAGTGATAACTTCTGTCAGAAATGTTTGGTCTAGAGCTGGCTTTCTTGGAGCTAAGAATTTTCAAAATTTAGTGCTGGTAAATGGGTTAAAAGACATTGCAGTTTCTTCACGTTCAAATAACAGAAGATCATGAATTGCAGAAATAAGTTGCATCACGCTGTTTAGCTACTGTTTTTCCTATGATTGCCTCAGAACATAAAAATTCAACATAAATGTTGAAATTTTTCTTCTATTAAATAAATAGCATACATAGTGCTCAAAATACAAGATACCATACTACTATTTCTTGGTGTTGGTAGGATTAGTTCCTATTACAAAAATGTGTAATATACATGCAATCCATTTTATGAAGAGAAGACAAAAAATTGCATTTTAGTTCCAAAGCTGACAATGTTTTCTTAGGAATAACCATCTTCTCATTAACTGTAAAACAATTTGGTGGAATAACATATTCTGCTAAACTTAGGAAGTTGTAAAAATGAGTATTCTTAATTTTTAATGAATTTCTGAAATATTAATACATTTAGTCCATTTTTGATGGTAGTAATATTTTGTAGACTTTATGGGGTATTTTGAACCGTAAGAGCTTAACTGCTTAACTTTCTGTATCAAGATAATAATATATACCACCAAATGACCACTGTGAAAAGAAGGTACTTTGCGTTGTTGGAAGTGATGTTCGTTCAAGTCTAATGTGCGTGCAAAGAGCTCAGTACTTATGTAGATAAGTGGCTCAATGCCAAGAGTCACGGAATCATAAAGGTTGGAAAAGAATCATCATAAAACACATGCTTATTTCAGGAAGTCAGGAGCACACTGCCATTACAGGGTATCTGATTATTTGTCCTGTGAATCTGGCATTTTCCATAATTTGATTTCATCATAATTTGCATAAATCTTGTATGGAATTATATGCTGGAGAAGTAACTTTACAACTCCTAGATTTAAAAATTAAAAATAAAATAAAATAAAAGGGTCTTTTTAAAGTAGCACCTTTTTGCCATTTGTTTTGCTGCCTCTTTAGTGTAATGATCCCAATTGCAAAGAACTACAGCTCCTTCTTTGTCAGCAGGATTTATGATAATGTCTTGCCATTTTTTTAAGTTATGTAACACACACTGCTCCTCCTTTGTTGTATGGTGAAATTTAGTAGGTTGTTTTAATAGTTTGATTGATTTTTTTTTTTCCTTTGGCATTTGTCTACAATGAAATCTAGTGTCTGAAATTTACTAGGAGGAGCAATCAAGAGGAGTGTCTTTTGTTTGAATTTCTGAAGGTGTCAGGAGGTTTAGGAATATTTGTGATAAGTCTTTTGTTTTGTGAAGGCTAGAAGTGGGTATGCAATGCTGTGTGAAAAGTGTTGAGCGTTGCTCTTTTAAAATCTTTTAAAATCATCAGCACATTTCTTAACAGGAGCAACTGCTGGTCTTTCATATGTTGCTGAATATTCAGCGGCACTTAGTGGTTCCTTTTTATTGTTGTTGAAAAAGTAATAATGTTTTAAAGACTTTGCTACACTTGGACACCTAGAATAAAGATTGCTTTGATTATTGTTATACAGTGAAATTGGAGGCAATGCCAAGATGGCCACAGAATTAAGTGAGACCAGATTTTACCCTACTGTTTGGAACAGATAGTTTCTTTACAAAGACACCGTTTTTAACCATTAACCATTTTCTAAAGCACTCAGCACTCCTTGTACAGTGAAAATTTTGAGAGTAAAAGAATTAGCAGATAGAATCTTTACTTTTTGACATTTTTAACTGAAGTGCTAAAGTTTATTTTTTCATAACTCTTCAGGTTAGACAGGAAAGAGTCAACCAAAAATGGATGAAAAATTCGGGTTCCATTTTGCAAGGGATCTGAAATATAGGCTAGTGCAAAGTTTACACGTTTTTAGGGTATTTTATAGGTTATTTTTTTTCTGACATAATTTTGATTACTCGATTAGGTTTGGACAACATGACTCTTTCTGATGATTCCGGGATAGTATTTTCAAAAAATATGCCATTAAGTCTGTAACTGCTATGTGTACACTTTCCTGTGATTTCATGGATGTAACTGAGAAGTCTATGTCTGACTTCCCTAGCTTTAATTTTCTGACAGGTGAAAATAAAGACACTAACTACAAACCTGCTCTTTAGAAGCTTTCACAGACAAACTATTCTTGTCTGTTAATTTCAACATATCCTGTCAGGGACCTTGACCATTCTATGCATAGGTTAATCAGTGAGTGAAATTATTAAATATGTTAATAAAAAGTCCAAATATTGGACTTTTGGACTGTAGATATTATCAAAATTTGTACTGTCTTGCACCTCCCAAAGTTACATTTTTCTCTTTGAATACAGAATTGTCTTTACCTATTTAGCATTTGCTGTGGCTTGGAAGCAAAGACCTCAGCTGAAAGCTTGGATATCTGACCTTTGACTTTTGAGTTGGACTGCATAAAAATAACTGTTGAGCTGTTATAATCTATATTTCATTACCAAAGTTCTTTAGTTTGTTGGTGTTGTTTTAACTTAAAGTACATCAAGGAAATTCTTTAAACTCTTTCTGAATACACATACAGAATTAACAGGGAAGGAGATTTAAGTCACTGAAGTGATCATTGTTATCTTTCATCATTGCCGTTTTTATTATGATTATTATTTTGTTATCAATATTCTGAGATGGTGATTCATGCTTTGGAACAGTGAGTTTTATAACATATTTGTGACTAATGACTAAATAGTAAAGACTACATTTTCTTTCCCTCTGTTTCTCCTTAAGACATTCTGTTTTCTGTTCATTTTTTTTTAATGTATTGGTCTTTGAAATGATTCTTAGGATACTGAGGACCATCATATTCATGAGATTTATCAGATCTCCACATAAATGGAGCTAAGGTAATGTGATAAAAGTAATTCTGTACTTGGTTTTGTCACAAGCAGTGAGTGCACTCAGACATATGTGGAAACCTGAAACGGATGAATGGAGGAGCATGAGTGATAGAGGTAGAAATTATGTATACGGGGTATATAGATTAAGTCTTTTGAGTATCATGTTCCTGTGACAGTAGATGCATAAAATATCAATATGAACAAATCTTCAGTTTCTAAGCTTCATGTATGTTTTAGGGTATAGTGTATGAATGCAGAAGCTTCTTTGTTGACCATTCTGTATTTAACTAATATAGTCAAAGTCCTACAAGGTTATTTTATTTTATTTTTTTTTTCTTATCTGAGATGGCAAACAAAGTGTCAGAACTGAAAACTGTAAGAATCACAGTTATTACAGATTTCAGGTCACATAATGGTTTTGGCTGTATTCGTGGCCAACTGTTGAATATGTTGAAATGTTATAAAAATGATAAACATTAAATCTGTGCTACAATTTAGTAAATACCTCTTTAGTTTCATGATAGTACTTGTAAATCTGGGTAATATTTTGATTGCTATTTTCAATGCAATCTTTTTTCACCACTTCAGATCTGTGCTCATAGACCTGTTAATGAAACAGTCTGTAATCAAGTGCTTCTTTTTTTATTTTGAGCATAATTATATTGTATTTTAGTTACTGCTCTGGAAAGTTCGCATATTTGCAAGTCAGTTTCCAGAAGAATAGATTCATGTCTAAATGAGTTTGTATTAGAAGCTTCTACTAGTTTAAAAGAATTTTATTACAGTTGTGTCTCTAGTAGCTATTTTTTGTAAGACTTTGAAATGCTTTTGTCTTATCAAGTGCCATTCTCTGCAATCCTTTAAGCCATTTGAAATGGAGCATGCGGTTTAGATCAGCTAAGATGAATTTCCTTAGATCATTCAGTGTTCCTGTGAATCTTAAAATATTATGCACTCTGCCTTTTGTGGTTCTTTCACCATTTTTTTTCTCAAGATTATCAGAACAGAAGTAATTGCTTCCATCCATTCTTAAAGATGTTGGAGTTCAAATACTGAAGCAGTTCAAAAGGGAATTTATGTATGCACATGTATAATCATTAACGCCAAAATATTCCCCTTAAAAGTTTAGAGAGAAGCTCCAAATATTTTCCTGCATGTTAATTCAGATCATTGGAAATGCAAAATAAAATAGTACAATTCCTTTTCCAAGGTAAAAATCATTTTCCCTAATAAGGTTCTGAACTATGAAAAATTTTAATCAATAATTTCTAGAACATCTACTGCACTTTTTTTGTACAAATATTGGCTTTAATATCTCTCTTCTGCTTTATGCTTTTTTCCACATTATAGCAGTGTGCTAAAATCACTATAACTCTTCCTTTATAGAGGCTGGCTTATTTAGGGCAAGTTGTATATAGCTGCGTGTTATACTTGATTATACAGTGTAGCATGTAGGAAAGTCACCTTAGTGTAATATTCGCTTTGAAGGTACAGTAATGGCATAAACTGTATTTCTAAATACTTCTACAAACTATTTCCATATTTCAAATTCCATTAGTTCAGTTTTCTAATTTTGTTTCTGTGTATGCATCTTGTCATAGACAACAACCTATGTGTGACTTTTTCAGTAACTTTAAAAAGCTAGCTCAGTTCTCTTGCTCGGGGAATTTCATAATTCTCTAATTATTCATTATTCTCTATTCTACACAGTTTCTTTGGAGATGATATTACTTTTAAGAAACTGGTGAAATGACTTTGAAGATGAAACTACAAACAGGGCACTGGATGTTCTGCATTCATGAAAAGCACTGATACTCACTTGTGAGTGAACAAGTCAGGAATTAAATATTGAGGCCTTTACACAACCTTAGACCTTTAATGCCAGGAGAAATATTTATATGTGTGTGTGTGTGTGTGTGTGTGTGTAAAATAATCTGTCTGCATAGTACAGAGCTGGAATTTCTGCTTCAGGTTGCTTCAAATACTTTAGAAGAAAAATCAACCTTTTTCTCAATTTTTAAGTAATAGGGATTCTTCAACATCCCACTCTGCCTAGTTTCTACCATATCTTTTTTTCATTTGTTTGTTTTCTTCCACATTTGCTTACTACATGCTTATTAACTGCTTACATTATTAAAATTCTGTTTCCTGTGTAGGTACTTTCAGATCTTCACTCCTGCTCTTTGATAAGTTAAATAATTTCAGCTCATTAAATCTTTCACTGCTTATTTTTTCCCAGTCCTTTCTTCTTTGAGATGCTCATCATGAATAACATTTATTTTGCCCTTATTTGTACTTGCACAGCCTATTTGTTTTTGGTAAGCTACGGTTTTGTTTAGGAGAACTGTGTAGAAGTAACAAACAAAAATTTGGCTCAGCAAACAACTTAGTTAAAAATCCTGTTGCTGCTCAAACATGGGTAGAAATCTTGCAGAATAGGTGATGTTTTCCTGGGTTAGCAGAAGGAAAGAGTGGCGAAAACAGAACTGTCAGGTGAGCAAACATTTGTGTTAATACTCCCAGAAACCATGCCTTTTCAGTAAGAAGATGATATTTTTCAAGTTATTGCTCTGAGGAAGACTATGGTTTTAAAGTCTTTATTCAGGCAGGGAGCTTTTAAAATATTGTGTACTATGTGGAGAGACTTGGCGGATTTCTCTTCTTCCAAAAAGTTGGGTCCAATGACATGAGAGTAATTATAAGAATGGCACTTTTAATGAAAATCTATTTTAGGAGTATTTTGAGTAGTTCCTGTTTCCAGAGTAAAAAGGGAGATACCGACAGAGTAAAAAGGGAGGACTGGAGGTACCTACATGAAGTTCAGTCAATGTTAGGCTTGCCTAGTGTGATCCTTTAACTATATATACTACACTCATGCTTTAAGGTACAATATCTTGTGACTTTTCAGGATCAGACACTATTAAAGACAGCTGTTCAAAAGGAAAAAAAAAAAAAAGAACTCCTCAATCTTTAGTCTGGTAGCAAAGAGATCTACTAAGTGTTAAACAGTGTGAGATAAAATACATGATTAAGAACAATCATAGTAATCCGGCAACTAATCAAGATTGTTGAATCAAGCTCAAGAAACAGTCCAATAATAGAACATTTTCTGAAATTAATGAGAAAAAGGTAAGAAAACATCTGACTAACACATAACATTCCCAAATAACAAAACAGATATAGCCTGTAAACAAATTACAGGAAAGGTCAGGCATAGACTAAGCAAAATGTTTATGTGATTTAGATATGTTTATGATGACATATTTATCTTAAAATATATTCATATTATATCTTAATATTTGTAACTTTTATAGTGGATTAAATAATAAAAATTATCATTAACTTTCTGTTTTGTTTATATGGGTTCACCCCAGTATTTAGTATTTTTTGACATGTTGGCTTTTATTAAGAACAATGGAGACTCTTGTGACATTTCTGAGATGTAGGAGCTAACAGGAAAAGGATTATAACAGTAAAACAGTCAGATTTGTATCTCTGAGTTTTGGTCCATTAATAGTGTCATTTGAGAGGGGCTGTTTATTCATCTGAATGTAGAGTCTGAGCTAGCTAATAGCAACTATAAAGGTAACAGTTTTCAAATGGAAAACTCAAATTTTCAAATCTTTCAATTTTTTTTTTTTTTTTTTTTTTGTGTGTGTGTGTGTGTGTTTATGCCTATTTTCGTGTGAACAAGAAATTTCCTCCTTCATTCCATGTTATTTGTGAAATATAAATCTGGGCTGTTCGTTTATTCTGGAATAACTTAACTCAATTTGCTTAATATTTGCTTTTCACTACCTTGAGTTGTACTACCATGTTGCTTTTTGATAGCATATCTGTTGATGAACAGCAGCAAACTGTGTAGGAAAATAGTGTTCTCAGCCCAGGTAGCTGTTTCAGCTCTTGTTGTGCAGGTCTTATCCCTGATAAAACATAATTGTTACTGATTCACTTACTGAGTGTCCTAGCAGAGTTAATAGTTATTAGAGTTGGTTGTGCACTTTGGAGGAATGACGTATTGAGATTCTCAGTGGGGTTTCTAGAAGAGCTGTAGTTCCAGGTTCAGTCTTGAAATGGACATAGTTATTTGAATAAAAGCAATCTAAACAGGGTAGTAGAAAACAGGATACAGCTTATTCTTTATTTTATTTTATTTTATTTTATTTTATTTTATTTTATTTTATTTTATTATTTTAATCAACTGAAAGCTTTAAGCTCAAGGCAAGATTCTTGAAATTGTTTTTTGGGGGACAAAACAAGCCATTTTTTGAGACACCTTTATAATCTATCTGATGCATAGTTTAAAAAAAAAAAGTTAAGAAAGAATTTGGGGGTTTTGAGGAAAGTTTCTTTGAAGTCTGGGTCTTGTAATTAAGGTGAACTGAAGATTAATTACAGGTGAACTGAAGAGCCAGTTCACCTGTAGATAATGGGAGAAGTGAGTCAGATGCAGGACAAGTCTGCTTTCCCACTCTTGAAAAACATGAAAATTTGTGGTCCTTCTGAAAATTAGATTTTTGTATTTCATGCTTCTAGTTTCATGAGAAGAATGTGCACTGGGGGAGCAAGAATTATAGATCAAGAATTAATGATAAATTGAAAAAAAAAAATAGCCACTGTTAGGGCATGTTTTTGTAGCAGAAGGTAAGTGTTTGTTTTGCTGGTTTTATTGTAACCAGCATGTGTAAGAAGAGCAGTGAAGATCTGGCAGTGTGGTCTAGCAGCTAGAGTAGTGTCCCTTTAAAAGCCTGCACCAGGCATTACAGTTTCCAGTTCCTGAGGAAGGCAGTGCAGCAGTGTCTTCACTAATATTCTCACCTATGCTAGCTAAATTAAAAGTGAGATGAGTGCCCTGATATAACCACATTTTCATTTTATGTAGATGAAGACAGGCTGCAACACATTTCTGCTAGACAAGGTTAAGAACTCTCTGCTGTCCCTGAACAACAATGTTCTAATTAAACAAGAGCATGGTAAGCAGGTTGTTTCCTTGCTCAGACCAACTGAAAATGAATCCTTTTTAATTTTTTTTTTCTTTCCCTTTTTGGAAGGATTTATTTCCAGGCAGACAAGTCATCCGAAGTGTCTTGCTACATGGCACAAATTCAAGTTACCTATGTGGAGGAAAGGTTGGCAGTGCATGTCTTGGGATGGAAGGAAGAGAGAATGTTGTAAATGTGGCCTCAACACACAAAAGCTTAAGCTCAGGTTAGAGCACTTTTAGTCACTATATTTCAGTTATGTTTCAGCTTTTTTTTTGCTTTTTTTTTTTTTTTTTTGTATAAAAGGGTGGGTGGGGAGGAGTAAAAGAGTTAGTAGAACAGCAATGCTGAACTTATTCTCTTAGATCTAATGAAAGCATAACTTCTGCTGCAATGAATTAGTCAGAAATGAAGAGGTAGCTGATAATAGATCTTTAGACAACATGGGAAAATATCAGTTGAGAAAATCAAGTAAACTAGGCATATGAGGTTCCAATTTTCAGATAGCTAACATGGAAAAGTAGGCTAGGTAATTGGTATTTATCCTTTAACCCACAGCTTCTGTAATTTGCTATATAAAGAAAGATAGGTTGCAGTAGTAAAAAACAAACAAACAAACACCAGAGGCAATGATTACCAGTTATTTCTCATTTCAATAATGGCAAAGTTTCAACATAACTCAAACCAACATATTAAGGTGCAGTAGGATCATGTGATGAAGCAAGCTACTTTAAGACATATATGAAATGTATTAAAGAACCTTCCAAAATGCAGAAGGTTTCACGTGTTTTGAGAATGCCAGTTTTGAAGCATGTCAGGAGTTGATAGCTCCAGGAGCACTATAATTTTGTGTCTCTCATTTAACACATTGTGGATTTCTGCATCACTCTTTGCTTTTCCTTAATAGGGAATCAAGCCATGAGAAGACACTGATCGTGACCTATATTTCCTAGAACGTGTTTTTCCTCATTAAGCTGGTATTTGTAGAATGTGCAGAATGTTATATTGTGTAGAACAACGCTGTTAGCATTTTTAGATAGCTGTTCATACAACACATTCCCTTATTCGCTCCCACAGTTCACTCATGTACTAAAATATTTACCCACAGTTACTTGGCTGGAACAATAGCTGGAAGGACAGCTCAGATTGTATACTCACAAGTGGAAGGTGCTTCAGTGGCTTCCAGGCTCCGAGTTGTGTTCTGTCAGGTGTATATTTAGTTTTGTAGTCTTTCCCTGTGTATAGCAACTGCCAGACCCGTGGCTGTAGGCCAAATAGAAAGAGCCCGTTGTTGATGCCAGTGGCTTTTGCTTGGTGATGCTGGTTAGCCAGACAGAAACCGCAGCTTCTTGGTGTCCTAAGTGTGTAAGATTTTCTGAATTCAGCAGGCCCACCAGTCTCTGGAGCTTGTGAACCTAATGTGTTATATTCTTTCAGCACGTATTTTTCGACTCTTTGGCTTGTTATTTTCTGTTAACTACCTTTCCATCCAAAAATATAGATACTTCCAGAATGCAGTCGTACAGGCTCATGTAGAAAAAAACTTTTCTAACATCTAGTTTACCTGATGGTTAAAAGTAAAAGGAGACAGAATATATTTTACACTTACTCTTGTTCATTTAAGTATACAAATTACTCTAAAATAGCATGATATCACTAATTTTGTTTTATTTTTTTTTAAATATTATTAACAGAAAGATGATGCAATGATGGATAATAATGATTAATTTCATGAATTATAGTTATGGAAAATAGATAGGCAGTCTGATTTATAAAACATGCCATTATCTATTCTCATGTTTCGATTTCAGTTTCCAGTCAGTTGTGTTCTCCATGTCAGGAAAACTTTTTTTTCCAGATATTATTTTCAGAAATGAATTAGGACAGTGGCTCCATGTTACTGTTCACCTGGCAGCTATGTAATAGATTCCTTTCCCTATTCCCGCCAATGGTTCTGTCCTATGAGTTGCATTGATTTAATTATTTCTTTAGCTGTCTAAACTGTTTCTGTGAAATGATCATATTAAAAAAAATGTGTTTTTTGTTTGTTTGTTTTTGTTTTATTTTCATTTCATGCATTTTATTTTGGAATGTGGCCAACAAATAGTTGAACTAAAATGATTTATAGCAAGGGACAGGAACCTTCAGAATAGTGAGAACTGGAGTTGAGTGGAAGAAATGATAGAGAAATAAACAGAAAACCTCTTATATTTGATCTGCTACTGACAGAATAATGACATGTAACAACAGCTTAAATGTCTAAAATATCTCAGAAGGTGTGCAGAACAAATGTTTATGACATGCTTTCTTATTCTTCACCTACAGAGTAATACAAATTTGTGGTTACTATCACATTGATGTTTATCGTTCTGAGGTGGCAGGCATCAGGTGGAGACTGAAAATCTTAACAGCTCCTAATATTTTAAACATTTGTGATAATGAGTGAGAAAGAATTAAATGTGCTGTAGTTAAAAAAAAATACTTTATGGAAAAACTCACAGAGTCCCTTTTTCTTTCAGCTGCTGAATGTCACATTCACCATCCATTCATATTGAAAATATGGGTATATTTGTCCAAATAAAAATGTTACTTTCAAAGCACGGTTAAATAAAAATTTATGATTAATTTTATTGTATAGTACGGTAAAAGTCCAGGGTTAAGTATCTGAAGGAATATCTGTAAGTTACATGGGGAAGATCTTCCTGTCACTTGGTTTAGATCAACAAGGTAAATTACTTGAATGTAGGGAAGTTACTTTCAAGTAAGCTAACATATCATTTTAATGCACTGGCTACACCAAATTAACTTGCTGTTTGGAACTGTAGGACATGACTGAATTGCATAAACACAGGCATCTAGATGCATTTGAAAGCCCTAGGGTCTGTCTTTTTTAGGGCTGCCATTCAGAGGAGTGCAAGTCTTTTGGAGGTCCTTTGTCAAGTCTGCCAGCCTGTCTTGTATACTCTAGGGCATCACAGATAGCACTAGGCTCCTATATTCAGACAGCTGATCAAACTTCTAGGAAAGAATTCAACGCTGGATTCCGACACCTAGATTTAGTCAATGGTGGTTTAGTCAATACAGTCAAAGGAAGCCACATTATTCCAAAGTAGACACCTACATTTGCTCAGCTGAATGGCTTTCTAGACTTCTTTGATTGTATTGACAAGACCTCCTTTGACAATAAAGGAAGCTTAGATAACTGACATCTGATTTTAGATACTCCCCCTTAACATACAGTATATGTGAAGCAGCTTAATATACTTTTAAAGCAGCATGATTGGGAGTGAATTTGTCCTTTAACCTCAGATCTGTCAATTTTTATTTTATTTTATTTTTTAATGTAAACTATACTACCTTTATAGTCAAATAGAAGGGGATGGGCAGCTCCAGAAAAGCTATTAGCATTTTTTTAAACCATATGGTAGTCAAGGTGAATCACTTTCTAGAGGTACCAGTCTATTCCTTTGCCTGTAGGAAGAGTCTTGATCACTAGTTTAGATTTAGACAGCTACTAGGTGCTTTAAGTTAGGGGCAAATAATCTTAGATTAAATGAGTCACAATTTATTTGTCTAAACATAGACATAAAGTGCCACTTCAGATGTTCCAGTGTGTAAGAACATCCAATGTTAGACACCTGTAAAGTTCTGGCAGATATGACAAGCAACTTTCAGATGGTTTCTTCTTAGAAGCCATCAGGGTACCTCAAAGAGACTAAAATAACTTCAGATGCCTGTTCAGGCAACTGAATCCAATCTTCCATGCCTGTATGCGGATTTATCCAAAATATGAAATGCATTGAAATATATGCTCTTTTTTATTTTATTTATTTATTTATTTATTTTTGAAATAGCTTCCCTGGACAGGTACACCTACATATAATTTATTCTGATTTAAAATACAATTTTGTCTATATTGCCCCTGTAGTTGAAATGCTTTGAAAGCATTGTTTTGACTATATAAAAGTCATTTCTCCATCATTGAAATTACTGGTCATAAGTAGAGTGGAACACAGCATCTATTTAACAGCATGCAGCCACGTTTGGAGGTACAAGGAATAATATGTATATATTTATGTATGTATGTATTTATTTATTTAATCCAGAACACACTGGGTAGGAAATTTTGGATGAACATAATATAATTTGCCCATTATTATCAGACCAGGCTGTTGGGACTGACATTCAGGCTTTAGTGACAAGTGCTCTAAGACAAAAACATATACTTTCAGTGAAGTCTGAGATGGTGATTAATCTTATAGATTTAAAAAAAAATATATTTGTGTATAAAATATTTTTGTTAATGTTTTGCATGTGGAAGAGAATCAATATATTTTTTATTGTAATTACTTTTTGTTTTGTTTTTAATTAGTGGCAAATAAAGTAAAGAGTGCCTAAGATGTGAAATTATTCCTGGCTTTTCTATTCTGTTCTTTGACTGTCCTTCTAAAGTAGGATTCATTAGTAACTATTCATGACTGCAGATTGGCAATGCTTTTTGTAGTTTGTGGAGCGAATGAATAATCCTCTCCCTGTCCTTCCCTGATAAGCTGTGATGTGAAGAGCCTAGTTAGAAACAGTTCAATGTATGTGTATTTATATTAGCAGCTCCTACTGATTCTTATGTTACAATCATAGAAATATGAACTTTCTTTGCAACCACATTTTCTGTATTTATCAGATATTTTGCTTCCTAACCCCTCCTTTATCTAATACCTTTGCTGGTTCACATCGGTTTTCAGCCTTCACTTTTCACTGAGACTTCCTTGCTACCAAAAAGAGCACTACTTGGAAACATGGAGTAAGTATGTATGACTTAGAATAAACTGGAAGAATGTTTGAGAAATGTGTGGACTGCCAAACTAACTTTGTCCTAAGGGACTTATAACCATTTTAATTGATTTTTTTTCCTGAGATTTTGTTCATCTTATTAAACAAGTCCTTAGAGGAGTGAAACAGTAGGTTACCTCCTTGAGAGCAAAGGACAGCCTGGCTTATTTGCTACAATTATCAATTTGTCCTTATCTTCATGAAATGAAATACTTTTTTTTTTAATCCTTCTGAAACAGCTGATGATAATGAATAAAACAATAAAGAAGACTTGGTGTTAACCTCCAGCCTAAGTCTATTTAATTTTTAAATATCGTGTACAATTGTGTGTAGTTGCACGTTATTTGTTTCTCCTAAACCATATATTTATCAGGTGAAAAAAACTGTCATGCACAAGTGACTGAAATGCTCTGTTTTGTTTTGGCTTTATGATAATATTGAACAGTTAAATTCTCAGTGAAAAAAAAAAGTTTAGCTATAGTCTATCATAGGAAAAAAGTCTGTTGAAATTTTGTGCATAATTCAATTTATTACATTTATACATAGCTTTCTAATATTATTACAAGTGATAGTCACCTAATTTGTACTTCTATTGAAAATTGGTTTGAAATGCTATTAACTTGAATAGGGAAATTTAGGACACAGTACTATGTAGATCAGCCAGACTATGTGGATCTATGTGGAGCTCTAAAAGAGAATCCTGCAACATCTAATTCAATACAGTTTTTGCCATTTTAACATTTCAAGTTCTAATTATGACTAAATTGAAACTTCTGTTATGGATAGTTACTGAAAGTGTTGTTAGACACTGGAACAGGCTGCCCAGGGAAGTGGTGGAGTCACCATCCCTGGATGTCTTTAAAAGACGTTTAGATGTAGAGCTTAGGGATATGGTTTAGTGGGGACTGTTAGTGTTAGGTCAGAGGTTGGACTCGATGATCTTGAGGTCTCTTCCAACCTAGAAATTCTGTGATTCTGTGTGATCAGAAGAGTATCAGATACTATCCAAAGAGTATTCAGATACTATCCAAAGTAGCAATACCAGGGAATCCAGGCTGCACAGGGTAGGATTTAGACCAGTTTGCTGAATTCCTAGCATAACATGGGCAAATGGTAGCTATTATAATCATAAACTTTCACCTCAGGTTATTCAGGGATGTTCTGTCTAGGGGTCATAACAAAGTCACTGTTCAGCTCTAATTAAATTATCTTTAATGATTAATTTTTGAATGTATAAATTAAATGAATGTTAACATATTTTAGTAAAAACTCGAAAATGAATACATGTTTCAAGCATTTTTTTAAAAATGCTGCACTTTGAAATTTGCAAAGAAGAAGCAGGAAAATATATACATATTTTTAATTATACTGGTAAAAGTATTTGTAGATAGCAACATTAGTAATGCTTTCCATTAGATTGGGTGAAATAGGCATATGTCAGACAACAATTTTCTTCGGATAACTATTTCCTTCATAGAGCAAGTATGTTGAGGGAGGTGAAACTTTCAAAAATATTTTCTCAAAGCAGGTTTACTTACTAAACAAGAAAATTGCATATTTAATTTACCATTTGTGGAAATTACCTTGTTTAGATTTTCTGCTGCAATGGATGTACATTATATACTTCTTTCTCTCTCTTTTTTTTTTTCTTGCTTAAAAAATCTTTTATAGACATTTCTCAAAAAAATGCATTTAATTCACATATGGAATATTTTTAGCTTTACTTATGAGAACTCTTAATGTCTGGATCCAAAATATTTTGTTTCTGAGGTGGGAAAATATATTTGATAAAAAGACATGATGTTTAGTCAGTAGTTTGATAGCTTTAAAATAAAGAGTATTACTTCTGTCATTAAGAGATCCACTTCATTATTTTCCTATTTAGTTGTCTTCTCTGGGTTAGGCATCAGACTAATGAGAATTTTGTAGAGCAGTCCTTTTCTGTCTAAACACCAACCATATAAATGCTTTCAATGGTGTGTGTGTGTGTTAACCCACACAAGAAATGCATGCAGAGATAATACATAGCCTGAAAAATACTTATGTGCTGACAGTTAACCAACAGTGTTGTCACAGCAGGAAGACATCAGTTGAAGAAACAGATAGTGACCTCAAAAAAAAAAAAAAAAAAAAAAAAAGGTCTGGTCAGCAGTATGGACAGGGTTTCACAAGATTATAAATCACCCCAGGGTCGCTGTGTTCCCACCATAAAGAGAGCATGGTCGTTTTATTGTAATCTAATAAGTGATGGGAGCAAAGGACAGCTCCAGAGTGTGTGTTTGGAAAAAAAAATCTTGATTACAGTTTCAAAACTATACAGTTTCCCTTGCTATTGAAGTGCAGATTATGGGGGTTAAGGCCATTTTAGGATTGGATTACCTTTTTATAGCTGTATGTTATTCCCTTGTTCATGAATCAGAAAGTACTTAAATTAAACTGAACATTTGGGAGTAATACTAATAGGGAGTGTGGTAGTAGAAAATTAATCACTATTTAGTGTTAGATGGCTAGCCAAGTAAGTCTTTGTTTTCAAGGCTTTTTTCAGTAATTGAAATACCCACCTTAATGAACTGATGAGAAATTTTATTTGGTAGTTCCTTTTATTTTTCAAAAAGATTGTTGTGTTGACTCATACAAAAGGAAGTCAGTAGGAATGTATTTTTAATGTCTGTTTTAATCCAGTTATTCACACTTTAATTTTGGAGTTTATTCTATACTGGATAAGATTAGGCTGTAGAATTATTTTTTTTTTGTCTTAGGGTTGCACATTTGATAAATCTTAAGATTTGGGTATTAACCCTGACATGCATAAATAAGAGACAGAAAAGAGATTTCTTTTCTTACCCTTCCAACTTTCTCCACTTTAATCCTCAGATTCTTTTCATGTTTTTGGGGTAGCACTTCTATCTCTATTTATTTACTTTTTCTCAATAAACTTATTATGTTTGAAGCAAACATATACAAAGTGAGTGGTACCAGAAATGAAGTGGTAAGATTCACGTTCATTCTCAGATTCATGTTCTGAATAAACTGAAAACTGGATGCAGAAGATGGTAAAATGCTTCAGCATTTTTACATTTCAACATTTACCCTGTGTTTGTGTCTACATGACTATTTGTTTTCTCAATTCAGGGAAACTATCAGCTAGCAACCTGTTTTGGTACCTACTGCCTAGGTGCTAGCCAACCATTAGGGGCCTCTAAAAGGTGTATTCTGTCCTGCTAAACTCTTGGGAGAAAACAAATAGGAGAAAGAGGCTGAGTAGGCCTTCATATATCTTCTAGACCTTACTCCTCAGACCTGAATAACTTCTGTTCTTCTGTTTCTCTAGATGGCCATATTTAAAAAAAAAAAAAAAAAAAAGCAAACAAACAAAAAACAGGCAGATTTTCTTCCTTGGGTGTTTCTTTCCTTGGTATGCACTAAATTTATGTATGCTTTCTTCCTGAAACCACAAATAGACTTGGGAAAAGAATAGGCCTAGCACGTTAGTAAAATCTATAAAGCAAGAAGGTTCAGGAATTGGCTGTCTCCTCAGACTACTCATTTTCTTCATGACATCAATTTTACTTTCTCATGCTGACATCCAGTTCTGTGTTAAAACAAAAAGTCATAATTCTCAGAGTTAGGATTAGGTTTAAAGAAAAATTACAGACCAACTTCTGTGTCGATACCAAGGAAAAAAATATTTTTAATAAACTTTCTTTTCTGCTAACATTTTGGAAAAACAAACAAACAAACAAACAAAACAAACAAACAAACAAACAAAATCCCTCAACCTTATTTTAATAATTCATTATAGCATAAGTAACATTGCTGTATTTTTTTCTTAAATTGATGTGTTTTTTTTGTTTGTTTTTTAAATGCTGTTGTATTTCAGAGTGACTATTAATCTATATGAGTTATCATAAAGACAAAATTACACAAATTGTAACTTGTTAATGATATTTGTATTTCAGGTTTTTATTTCCCTTCTCCTGTATGTCAGGATACACAATAGGATCACAGTAACTCCTGAGATGTGCTCTGTCAGATCTGGGCAATTTACCAAATTTTGACTTCTAGGAAGCAGACTGGTATTATGAGAAGAACTGCAGTGCAGGTGGCTGCTTGCTTCACAATTAATTTTGCATTTCAGATTTACAGACTTGAATGAATGGAAAGGTTTTTTGTTTGTTTGCTTGTTTTGCTATAGCTCACCATCTTCATGTTTTTACAACTTGTTCAGTGTAGTAGCATTTCCAAAAGACAACAGTATACTAACTGCTTTCTTCATTCAAATACATCAACCAATCGCACAACTGTTCCTGTTTGGTTTCTTGAACAAAACACTTGTTAGTTTCCTTCAGGTTGCACTGGATATTGATGATGATGAAGATGATGATTTGTACTTAGAATCATAAAGTGAACCTTTGGTCTATTCCGTCTCACTTGTCTGTCATTGTTCCCATGTTATCCCATGATTCTCAACCCATCAGCTGTTAATATAGGCAACTCTCACTCTGTATCTAATAGGACTGACAGAATCTCCTACCGCTTCTATCAGTGTCAGTCCTTTAATTGAAAATGGGGCATGATTGATGGGTTATGCAGGTTCTACTTCCCATTGGATGGAAAGCTTTGCCTGTTTGACTTTCCCAGCATATTTTTGGTAAAGAGAATAAACTACCAGAGTAATTACTATACCAAACCAAACCAGGTGTAGGTTTGAAGTTTCTGTCTTATATTAGAAACACAAAACTCTTACTGATATTGCAACAAAACATCCCAAAATATAAAGAAAGGGAAACATCATTGTAGACCTAACTTCACTTCTGCTCTATACATCCATTCTCCAATTCTATAACATATTCTCTAAGATCCTGCAAAGTATCAGTCAGGTAAGTTCATTTATTTATTTATTTAAACACAGTTTAGTCCAGAGATTTGCTGTTTTTGCTTGATGGATACATTAAAAAGAACAGTGTATTTCAATCAGGCTATGGTATGGAGAACTGAGTTAATCAGAAACAGAGTCTACATAAAAATAGTCTCAGGATTCATGAGATACTGTAGTGGAGAGAAGCATCATCCCATTCTGTTACAGATAACAACAGTGCTAGTTCCCACATAAGTCAAGCTATACTTGTTATTATTAGAAGAAGAGAGTGAGTGAGTTGTTTAACATACAATGTTTTACTACTGGCAAAATTGCTCATGCTCTCAGAGTAAACTACAGAGTGCAAATGCCAGGGTGATTTTTGTTGCTGTTGTTGAAGACATAAGGTAGATTGGCTAAGGTAGAGAAACAAATGTAGTTGCTTTGATTTATCACTTGTGACATTAGTGTGTACTATACTGTTCTCCTGGAAACAAAATGGTTGCACCTGAGGACAGTGATATAAACACTACTTTGATTATTTGAAACAAACCATTAGGCTTTGATGAAAGAACCATTACTTTAGTAGACCTTGTACAGAGAGCATGCTTAGAGATAATGGATGAGCAGCCTACAAATTGCTTGCTTGGAATTTAAAGAAGTCACATGTTTGTTTGAACTTCATGACATAAACAGATATCTAACATGAACAAGACAAGCTAATGGTATACTTACCATTTAGGTGAAAACACACTATTGCAAACTTTACTTTCAATACTTTAAATACTGCATTTTAGTGTGCTGAAAAAAAGTCAACAATTCCCTATGGAGCTGTAATATATATATGTAGATTAGAACTGTATGCAATATATACATTTCTATATACATGTTTTGGTATACATATTTGTATTGAAATGCTAAGTTTGGTTTTGTGTATTTAATTTGCTGCATGTTTCATAATGAAAATAATTATTTTGAAGTATAATATAATTAAAATGGTTCCAAAATACTGTGTGCATATTTAATAAAAGAAGTCCAAAATATATTCAAAATATTTGTGTTTGTTCTGTGGCAGAGTTTATTTGGTGTCTCTTAAATGATTTTGTCTTTCTTTCTTTCTTTCTTTCTTTCTTTCTTTCTTTCTTCTTGTCTTTTTCTTTTTCGCGGTGGGGTTTCTTCAGTTTTTTCTTCTTTGGGAGGGAGGGGGGGGGGGGGGGGGAGAGGGAGAGGGAGGAGGGAGGGAGGAGGAAGGGAGATGCTTTCTTTAGGCTTTAGGAGGGCTTTTTCGTGAGGGGATGGAGGGAGGCGGAGGGTGGAGGAGGGAGGGCGGGAGGTAGGGGGGGGCGGATGGGGAGGGAGGGGGAGGGGGGGTGGACGGGAGGAGGAGGGGGAGGGAGGAGGGTAGGGAGGGCGGAGGGAGGGAGGGATTTTTTCTTCTTGAGGCGGGAGGGCGGGCGGTAGGGCAGGGAGGTTTCTTTCTTTCGGGATGGGGAGGCGGGAGGGGGGCGTCCGGGAGGGAGGCGGGAGGGAGGTGAGGGAGGGAGGGAGGAGTGCGGGAGGGTGTGAGGGAGGGAGGGGGGGGGGGGGAGTTCTTTTCTTTCACGGTTCTTCTTTCTTATTGAGGGAGTGGGGAGGGAGGCGAGGAGGGCGTTTCTTTCTGGAGGGTCGGGGGCGGGTGTTTTCGGGAGGGAGGCGTGCGTGATGGAGGGCGGGAGGGAGGGCGGGAGGGAGGGATGTGAGGCGTGAGGAGGGCGGGAGAGTGGGAGGGAGGGATTTTGGAGGGAGGGTCTTCGGTTGGATTGATGGCGGGAGGTGCTGTAGTCGGGCGAGTCGGTGCTTCTGGGTATGGATTTTTCTTTCTTTTTCTTTATTCTTCTGGTCTTTGTTCTTCTTAGTTTTCTTTTTTCTTTCTTTCGTCGGGATTTCTGCTTCTTTCTTTCTTCGTGTTTCTTTCTTCTTTCTTTTTTTATTTCTTCTTTCTTTCTTTCTTTCTTTCTTCTTTCTTTCTGTTTTCTTTCTTTCTTCTTCTTTCTTTCTTTCTTTCTTTCTTTCTTTCTTCTTTTCTTTCTTTCTTTCTTTCTTCTTTCTTTCTTTTCTTTCTTTCTTCTTTCTTCTTTCTTTCTTCTTTCTTTCTTTCTCTTTCTTTCTTTCTTCTTTCTTTCTTTCTTTCTTTCTTTTCTTCTTTCTTTCTTTCTTCTTCTTTCGTGTTTGGTGCCTTAGTTACAATTGGTCTATTTGGCCATTCCTTGGCTGTGAAATAATTTAATTCCCTTTTTACGTCTGTATCAACCACTGTCCGTAACTTCTTGTGTGTACTGTCAGGTATTATTTTGAGATAAGCCAGGTACTTTCCTCAGAAACAAAACCCAGCTGTACTTCAGGTGATAGTCCACTCCGGGACCTATTTCCAAAAGGCATCATGTACTAGGTTTGTTTCCTTCTTTTTTGGACAATTCTTAAATGCTATCCCAGATAATGCTCCAATTTCTAGTACTTCCGGGTACACTCATGATATTTCCTAGATAATGCAGCACATACCTTACACATCTACTACAATTTGGTAATAGAGGAAAATTTACTAGGCTTCCCACCAGTAGTATCTGTACTTGCAGTGTTCAAACACTGGAGTGGTTTGGAAGTGTTCCACCACTGGAGTGGTTTGGAAGTGTTCCACCACTCACCAATCTTGGAGTGGTGGAATTTGTTCATCCAAATTTGCATCTACAGTGCAGAACTCTACATCTGAACCAACAATGATGTTTTTTTGTCTTGATAGTCAAGGAACTGTATAGTTATAACTAAGGAACAGTATAACTATAGTTATATATAACAGTATAACTAAGGAACTCTATACTATAGCTAAGATGTTATTCACTTCATTGTAAAGAAGTTCAAAACTGACCAAATGAAGCAAACTGTGGAAGTTCCTGTGTTGCACCATTGATTATGAAAGAAGCATATAGGATGACTCTACCACATATCTACATTGCAGATACATAAATGTAAGTGAAAGGAAGGCACCCCATTTGTCAATACAGTGTGAGGGAGAAAGCTAAAAATTACACAATAAATTCATAGGCCCATAATGTGTCTTGTTTGTAATAGTTACCTGATGGTGCAGACAGTGCTGCCCATTTCTGAAAATTATCTTTATCTGCTCGTGTTTTTACAATGAAGATTATTATTAATTAACTGATCTATTAATTGCAATCATTATCAGTAAAAATACCAGACTAGAGCAGGGCCTGCCTTAGTGTTCCCCCAAATAACAGTCTAGCCATAACTGCTTTTGGAGATGGAAACATAAACAAAAATTGAGAAGATAACTCTAAGCCTGGGTGACAACCAAGGACACGTAGAGCCTGAATGATTTACTTTTGCATTATGGTAGTCACATCCCAGGATCCTGTTTTGTGTGACAAGTCAGCAAGCAGTAAAGAATACAACACTTGAATATATGACTGCTTTTCTTGTTTAATTTCAGGGAAAAAAAATAATCAGAATACTGGCTGCTGTATATA